TCATGGTAGCATTCCATCAACATGGCATTGTGACTTTGTGTGTGGCTAAAGTGCCACCTACTGTATCACCAAGCATTTACAGGAATTACTAGTAAACCAGACCGGAAAAAGAAGATCACATAAAAAAATGCAATAGAGGTATTGTTTGTTTAATCTCAGCCCATTCTTGTACATGTATTCTGTTTTCTCAAATAATTCAATGGTGCATCAGACTTGTGCAATGCAATATTACCAGTTATTTGGAACTGCCTTCATTGGATTTCAAAGCAGAGATTTGATCTGAGATAGGGTTTCAATCAAAAAATAGAGACTTCCACCTTGAACTGAAACATTGAGATAGGCTGTGTGTTTTATTTTATGAAATATGCCAACAGAAGAGACTTTTTTTGCATGCATTACACAGAAGACTCACAAATATCTCCAAGTACCTCTTTTGATACACCTTGGCTGTAGAGAGCCCTTGATAATAATTGGGCATCATTTTGCACAACAGTTCAGTGGGACATTTTGATTGAAGCAAAACACCACTTCAGTGATTCACACATCCTAATTACTAAGGCTTCACCCAAAGAACAATGTTAGTATCTTAGAAGCTCCAGGGATATCCATTATATTAGCATGCACCTTGATGATATAAGATATTGGATTTCTTCAGTTATGTGCATGAAGCATTATGAAGCAAGCACACAAATAATGTTGGCATAAACACCATTTCATGGTAGGAAATATATGCTTTTAAAATATATATATACATAACAAACACCTTTAATTATGTATATGCCTACAGTAGCTAGCTCTATTTTTTTCAAAGAAAAAAGAATGCTTCAGTGACTATCATTCATCCTTATAAACCTTAGAATACTGAGCATCATTATTGCTTTTCTCATTACCTACACCTTTCTGGTCATCTGAAGATCCCAAGGCACTAGTCCCTGCTTACCACAAATAATAATAATAAAAACAATTTTAAAAGGCATTGATTATTAAGATAACAGCTTTGAAAAATGAATTCAATTCACACTTTCTGCTTGTCCTGGCACAAGGGTGAGCCTACTTTCATTTTGAGAAGGCAGGAATGGAAGTTGTCATCAGGAATGGAAGATGACAACCACAGCTGGGTTCTCTGGCTTTCCATCCAAAGTTGTGTTTCCCTCCTGCTGTGGCTGGGAGGGCAATCCTGTTCACCTGCTGTGCTTCACTCTGGCATATACAAATGCTCTGATCCTGCAGGGTGCTCTTGTGGGAGCCCTTTTCCTGTCCTTAATCTCCACCTTCAACAGGTGGGGTGTCTGTCACAAAAGATAGGATCTTTGTGTGCACATTTCTTCTTCTTTCTACAGGTTAAGTAGTGAAGCCATTTCTTTGTTTCTTTCTCTTTAAATGGTTGAAATGGAAAGAATTCTGCCAAGCTTTCTCCTTTTGGATAAGCAGGGGGGCGGGACCCCAACCTGTAGATGTCACTTTAAATAAAGCAGCAGAGGTACAGTAAAATAATGAAAACTGGCTTGTTACTTTGTTCTTGCTTTTTTTTTACACTGGGTAAAACTGACAAAGGTTTTGCCAAGATTTACCCTCTACTTCCAAATGACAGGAAGAACCATGAAAGTTTTTTAAACTAGTTTTCAAAAGACATGCCCAGAGAAGCAAAAGCACTTGGCATTTGCTTTTCTCATATAAGTAGGTGAGAAAAAGAAACAGAAAAACTCACCAGTCAGGAGCTGGGTTAACCACAATCTGGGTGGAACACCTGGTATTACTGTGGCCAAAGAAAAAGAAGGGACTGGAATCCAGAAAAAGGTTTTTCTTCAGTCTTTTTTATTTCCAGCCATCCTAGTACAAAAGATAAGCTCCTAAAATCTGTAATGTAGCAAAGTCTTTTGTCCAGTCATGTCACCTGTCACAAAAAGAAAATTCCAAATTCACTATTCCTGATCATTCCTGATATAGCAATATCTGGTTAGTGTATGACTTGTAATAAATAATCAAAATTCTGTCACCTTGTGCTGCATCCTAGAAAACTGTGGATGGTAAATAACAGCTCTTCAGATAGACCCCAGGAGTAAAATATCTTCTTTTAAATTTGTATTGTAGTATTTGTTTACAAAATGTATGTAAAGGTGAATTCCAATACAGGTAGTCCTCAGTGTACGACTATAACTGAGCCCAACATTTTTCTTGCTAAGCAAGGCCATTGCTAAGTAAGTTTTGCCTCATTTACAAGCTTTTTGCACAATCATTAAATGAATCACTGCAGTTATGAAGTGAATGTAGCTTCCCAGTTGACTTTGCTTGCAAGAAATTCACAAAAGGTGATCACATGACCCTGGGGTACTGCAACTGTCATAAATATGTGCCAGTTGCCAAGCATCTAAATTTTGATCACATGACCACAGGGATGCTGTAATGGTTATTAAGTATGAAAAATCATCTTAAGTCACTTTTTTCAGTGCCCTTGTAACTTTGGTCACTAAACAAAAGGTTGTTAAATCAAATGGGGCTGTAAAAAGAAGCAATAACATTGCATATTTAAAAAATCCATGAATATGTGTCTTTAATCAACCAGGCATTACTTCAGGTTTTCTCCATGGCAAGGAAAAAAATTAAATCCTACCTTCCAACTACAAAAGATGAAGTTGATTGTTTTTGATCAGCTGTATCCTTGGGAATTGAAAAGAAAGGCCAAAATCGCAACTTTTATCAAACTTTTTTTTTAAAAAAACAAGGGGCTCAGATTATCCCCAATGTTAAACAAGCAACCCTCTCCAGGATAATGTACTGTAGTTTAAAAGTAAGAGGAAAAGACATGGTAGCTAGTGTATTACTTTAAAACCAGCCTGCATCTCTTTTCATATGAATATATTTCTCATTAGTAAGAAAGTAAGATTTCCCTTGAGTCAAGGTTAATTCATGGAGACCTCATAAGCGTCTTTGTGTAGATTCCTGGGCAGGCGTACACAACTGATTTGCTACTTTCATTATCGAGGATGGTTGTTGTTTTTCTTTCCACTTCCCACTGTAGCATACAAAAGTCTCTCAGATTTTCTAGAAATATTTATCTCTATGTACTAACCAGGTCTAACCAGGCTTAACATTTTGAAGATCAGTCATGGCCAATTAAGAGTGGCTGTCTGCTGCAACAATGCCTTAGAAGGGCTTAATTATTTTAGAGATGGGTAATTTTGTCAATATTAGTTCAGAGTTTGTTGTCACATTTTAAGTTTGTTTTATCCCATTTCTTTATTAGTTTGTTAGCATATACACTCCATATCAAAAGTGTTCATGTAGTTTTCTCCAGTTTGCTTTTGCATATTTTTTTCATATTTGTATTTTTCTGCAATATTATGCAGTTTTGTAAACTCTTTCACATACCAGTTTTTCTCATTTTTAAGCATGACTGAATGTGCTTGTCCCTGATGTATTGTTCAGAAAAGTGAATCACAGTATTTGGAAGAAGGATTATTGGGTTTTGGTTCAGCTGTTGATCTGAGAATTGCTCATTTGCAAAAGCAAAAACACGAAGAAAAAACAGAACCAATTGATTTCTCTTTTGTAGCTCCCCCCCCCCCCCCCAAGTAATCTGAGAGAGTGAACCAAAACATTTGCCCATTTCCTTGTCCAGTGCAGGAAAGATTGTAAAAATTACATTTCTAAGCAAGTTAATTCCAGTTCTCTCCTCCCAATTTGTTTCTGCTCACCCTTCCCCCTAATGCTTTCCCCATGTTGTTCCATCCCTCAAGTTCTTATGAATCCTCATAATGCATCATGTATTATTTTATTAACTGTTTCCAATCCTTGTAGATTTATGCTAATAAAATCAATTAGCACTGAACTGTCTTCTTGCAGTTGTGAATAGTTTTGTGAATAGTTTTACCAATTTTCTTAAGCACCATGATTCAAATGGATCTTTGTTCAGCCCTTTTGATAGTCCAACTCTCACTGACATGTGCTGTTATTGAATTTCTTGGTTTATTTAACAAACTTATGCAGCTGTCCATCTCACAAAATGTGCCTCTGGGAAGTATACAATACACAAAAACAATAAAACACTAAATGAAAAGAGAAAAACAAAAAAGATAAAAACTCAAGATTGTGGGAAAGACAGCCATCCCTTAAATCACTTGTTCGTCTCACCATGGTACCCAAAGTTGATGGAAAAACTGTACCTTTCCAAAAGTAGGAATGGGGCCGATCTCACTTCAGGGGGAATGACTTCTACTGGCACATTAAAGGTGGGGAACCATAGCCTTAATAATACGTATTTTTGTTACCAGTATAGTATTTCAGCACTCTTCTCCTTCAACAGGACTCTTTCTCTCTTGCAGCTGTCCAAGTGCATCAGGTTGCTTGAAACTATTGCTATTTCTTCCAGCAATTTTAATTCCAATGTCTAATTCTAGTCCAGCGTTTCTCATTTCCCATTATATTGTCTATAGTATACGATGCATATAAATAATTTTCAACCTGTTGTTGCTCCATATTGTGCCCTATTACTTCCTGATCAACAGACATATTTTTGATATTTAATATTAATGACTACCCAACAATTTACTACAGCAGTATTTATCCCCGGGAGCTGAAGTCCACACATCTTAAAAGTTCCTGAGGTTGAGAAACGCCAGTCTCCTTAATCAAAAGCCAGTTCTTTACAACGAAGCACAAAATAACTTCTCATGTCAAACTTATGCCAGTGCTATAAAGTCCTCCAAAAGTCAGAGGTCGCTCTCTGAACTTCCCATCCTTCGCCTGCCATTGTAGCTTCAGGATCGGCTAGTGGAATGCCTGATGCTTTTCTTTTCTCTGCCTTCGTTTCTAAATCCGTTCGGGGCATTTTCCCCAACGCTCCAACGAGCGGCTAACGAGGGATTCGAGCACCCCCAAAAGTAATAACATTTATTACACCCCCCCCCCAAAAGTAATAACATTACCGAGAGAACCCGTCAGAGAGGAACAGGCGATCATGAAGGCAGCTCTCTTTGCCGCAAGGCCCCTCCGCAATCCTGGCCAATCACCGCCGAAGCCAAGCCGAAGCCTCCTTCGGGTTCGTCCGGAGAGGCGCCCGAGCGGAAAACCTTTGGGCCGTTTCCGAGGCCGAGATGTCGACTAAGAATTTCCGCGTCAGCGACGGAGACTGGATCTGTCCCGACAAGAAGTCAGTAAGGCAGCCAGGACGGAGAAGGTCGGCTGGGTTTTTTGGCCCGTTGAGGCCACACGGGAGGCACCCGGGCAGGCTCCGAGGCCTTGTTTGGCGTGGTACCGCGGGGACGAAACGACCCCGAGGTCGCGGGGAACCGGCGGGTTTTTTTGCCCCCACATTTTTTTCCTCCCTTCCCCTCCCCCACCCCTACCCCGCAATGGGGGTCGATTTTTAGGGAGACCCAGATGCAGCCCCGTGTTAATCGTGGTCACTGCGATTCCTCGTTAGGCCTCCATCTTCCAAACGGCCAGCGCAAGGTCAGATAAACCACCAGTTTAACATTTCCAGGGAGGGATCCCCGGAATCATAAGATATTATCCGGGAAACAATAATAGAAATAATAATACCAAGAATACTATGAATAATAACTATTTCAGCCGCCCGGAAGAAAATTGAGGTTTATTTTTTTTAAATGCGCAGTGGATCGCATCGTCTCGCTGATTGCAATTTCTTCAACCTGCAAAGGGAATTGTTATATCGAGTCGTCCTCATCTTTTTTTAACACGTTAATACATTACATAGGAAATGAACGGGGCAATTTAGAAATGTAAGAAGTAAAGCAGTTCAAAGCCCTGCTACTTTCTGAGTCGCATTTTAAAAATTCATAAAATGTGTCCATTTGGATTTAATTGCACTGCATGCTTCTAAAAAGGTCAAATGATTTTCTGGCTTACTATATGCTCTTTCTGCTTTGTGAATTGGTAGTGGTAGATAACACAGAATTGGTAGTGGTAGGTAACACTGGTCTACAAATTTGGGGAAATTATTGCCCTCTATGATAAAATGTATTGATTCCTACATATTTTGATGAGGTGAGTTTTCCAAGGGATAAAGGTGCTGGTTGGCTAAAGTTTTCAAGCTATTTCACAATAAAGATTTATACTCGGGTGAGTCTATTTGCCTACAAGGAAGGAAGGTATTGTGGAGCATAATCTCGCATCCCCCTCGTAATTTTGAATTATTTTGATGCAATTTTGACCTGAAACTGTATCTTGGAAACTGGAGCCAATTAATACTCAGGACTTAATTTTCCTTTATTTCTTTTCCTTTATTACCCAATTCTGGTAAAATTAAGCTACTTTCATTTCCAAGGCTTTCTCCTTGTAGACAGACCAGTGATGCCTTGTAACTTGTTGACAAAGTACAGTAGAACAATGAAAATGGTACCACATGGAAATGTATACATTTTATCTTCTCTTTGAGACTAAAGATAATTGGCTAAACAAGAAGAAAAAGTCCATGCCTTTCACAGTCCCAATAGTGTGGAGGGAACCCACCAATCATCTCCCCAGGGATGATCCTATTGCAGTTCATAAGAGAAAAGCCAAAAAGCACAGTTTAGATACCGAATAAAGATGGAACCTTGTCGTTTAATCTGATGTTAGAGCTTGTCAGTTTTTCATGCATTCTGGTAAAATTAAGCTACTTTCGTTTCTGAGGCTTTCTCCGTGTAGACCAATGTAATTAAAAGGAAATGGCAGTTATTTTGTAAGCGTGAATAGAAATGTTTGTTTATAAAGCATCTTAAAAAGCATGAGTCTGGATAAGTTGTGAGCTGATTTGCAAAAGTTTGAACTAAAACGTTTGGAAATATTAATTGCATTGAAAGTTCTTAAAATAATGTTTCTTTTATTTGCAGATGTGGTAATGTTAATTTTGCTAGAAGAACCAGCTGTAACAGATGTGGTCGAGGTGATTATATCAACTGTATTTATTTCGATGTGACTGTTCCAAAATTAAACATACAGGAAATTGATTGATTTACATGCCTGTTTTCTACTTTCAGAAAAAACTACAGAAGCTAAAATGATGAAAGCTGGAGGGACTGAGATAGGGAAGACGCTTGCTGAAAAGAGCCGTGGTCTCTTCAGTGCTAATGACTGGCAGTGTAAAACGTATGTTGATCTTGAAACTTTATTCTCAGTTTAATCTTATTGTCCTTTATTTTTAGGGTTTTTTGCTGATATTATCCATATGTGCCTCTTTTATAATTTGTTCACCCTGTTCTTATACTTATTTACTCATAAGAATAATTCATTGAATACGGAAGATCTCACTGCCAAATAGGTGCTGTGTACTGGGTGTACTGTACTGTGTGTACTGTTTTCAGTGTACTGGGTGTACTGTGATAATCTATTGCTCTTCTGTAAGAGTACAGACTTAAATTGATTCATTTAGTAGATCCAGCAAATTGTTTGGTACATTAAGTAAGAGTCATTTGACAAGTGGGCAGCCTTAAAAATGAAATTAATAAATAATAATGAGAATGTCTACAGTTTCCATATAACTTTAGACAACTTGTGATATCTTTTAGAAGGCAATTGAAGTGGTTTTTTTTAATAAATGGAACATTTATTCGCATTACTAATGTAGTTATCAGTTTTAGCTAAATTGAACTTGATTTCATTATCTGTTGTCTGCCAGCATTTATTTTGTTTGATTTTATTGGTATTTTCATGATATTATGGGAATTGTGCCATTGCTGTAAAATCTATATATGTAACAGAAGAATATCACAATTTATTTAACCCGCTGACAAACCAATGAATTGTTTGGTCAAAGTAAAATATTTTGTTTGCTTGTATTTTGTTCAGATTTAGCTTTAATTATAACTATGGGAAGATTTTTTGTGGCACTAATTATATATAAAAAATAATATGTGCTAAAAAAGTTACATGCATTTTACTTGGCATTTAAATGCTATTTATTTTATCTGAAATATAGGAGAGAAACTCTGCTCTTTCGATTAAAAATTATTTTAAACATTCCAGTTCTTCAGGTGTCAGCTAATATTTACCTTGTTCATTGCTGTACTAGTATTATTTTTAGTTTTTAAACATGTATTTTTCTTCCCAAAGATGTGGTAATGTTAATTGGGCTCGGAGATCAGAATGCAATATGTGCAACACTCCAAAGTATGCCAAACTGGAAGAAAGAACAGGTAATAGCCTTAGCTGAAATATGCTTTAGAAAATACTCTGTACCAAATAATTAAGATGTGCAGCATAGCAGAGATCTGGCTCAAATAATTGAATTGATTCATTTGGAATTTCATACTGATTTGTTGCAGATTTCTAAGTTGAGCTATCATATCAAATCAGTTTGATTGTGTGCATAGGAAAAAGTCATCAGGTTGACATTGAATTATCTTAGGGAAAACTGATTTAATAAAAGATTTATCAGTTCACAAATTTGATCAAGATACATTTGCTAATAGATTTCAGAGGAATTCAAGTCAAATGATAGCAGTGGCTTTGTGGAATGCCCCTCTTTGTGTATTAAGAAATAATTAGCATGTGCAATGTTGAATATTTCCCAAGACCTCTGGTGATACATCCCTTTATTTTTCAAAACAAATGGATTGAGGTGACAACCGTAAACATTGCACAATGCACCAATCCAGGCTTGAAAGGTGTCAGAAATGTTGAAACTTATTTTTAATAGAGATAGATGTTGCAGGAATGTGGAATAGCTTGCAGTTTCAAGTTCAAGAATTACCATCATGATGCTGAATATTGTGAAAAAATACCTATCTGCACTCTCCTTGTTCCAGATTTCAAAAAATGTTCAGGACACAGAAAGCCACAATCCCTTGTAACTGAAACCTTTGCCTCAGTTGGGTGGAAAAGATGCCTTGTGGAGCACAGAAATAATATTACCATGCAAAGCACAGCTTAACATTGAAATTGGCTAATTTTGATTTAGAATAAAGTTCTTAATGTAAGCTTTTTTGCCAGAATTTATTCCCGTGTCATGTGTAGTTACTGATACTGCATATAAACCCCTCTGTAGAATTTTATAACTTGTGGAAATGGTTTTAAGGGACCCACAGGGACTACAGTATTGGGGAAGAAGCTTTGGCTTCCCAGTTGAGTATATAAGGATGTCCATAGCTGTGTAAATGTTTTTAATACCATGGTAGGTGGTGATGTTTTAAAAAAGGGAGAATGATTTCAATATATGAAAATGTTTCCTACAGTGACAGATGCTGCATCTAACACAAAGTTTGATGTGAATTGTTTGTGTGTTATATGCATGCTGCTCAAGATGTGATTTACATTTATAATTTATAACAGTACTATCTGAACAGTTGGAATTGGTGGGGCTGAAAAATGTGCATCTCGATTGGTTCCTCAAACTGTTTCTGTCCATATAATGTGATTTTGTTTGCAATCTTTTCTCCCTCTCTGAGACTCTTAGTCTTGTGCCACAACTCCACTCTGTCAGCTGCCCTGACTGACTTTAGTTTCAAATAACTGTCAGTTCTGTTGACCGTGCCATTGTTTTTGTACTTCTAATTTATCTGCACAGTTAAAACTAATGAAATAATATATAGATGGTTCCTGCACCCCTGTTTCTCTTTCATTTTTTACAGCCTTTTTATGCAAACTTACATAGAAATAAATCTGTGCTATTACTTTTACTTAATATAAAGTAACATGTCATATCCCTAGACTATTGGTTTAGTTTTTGAGGTTTTTGGAAACTTCTTTTTGTAGGATATGGTGGGGGCTTCAATGAAAGGGAGAATGTTGAATATATAGAACGTGAAGAGTCAGATGGGGAATATGATGAGGTGAGTGATACATACTGGTATGTAATGAAATGTTACTTTTAAAATATACTAATGGGAAAACTCATTCCTAAATTCATTCCTTTAATCCTAATTCATGAATATGACTGAAAATGTCAGTTATATGTTTATGCTGAAATAATACATTGGTTTAATTGGTACTGTGATTATACTTAATATATTTCATAATTTTCCTATTTTAGCATGTTACAATTCCATGTTGGCAGTCTTAGATAGCTCTGGAGAACCATATCTAGAATGGGAAATATTGCATAAAACTATAGATTCTTTATCAAGATAAGTTACATACTAATCAGTCCTTCCATTAATTCTATTTGTACACCAAATTACTTATTCTGTTTGCTTGAAAGGAAAATTTAACCAAAAGGAGTAGACAGGGAGGGAAATTGTTAAAAGAAAAAAAATGAAACCATTCTGGAGATTTTTTTCCACCAGCCAATATATACATGAGACTTTTATTTTGTATTTTAAATATACTCATTGGCCAAAAGCCAAAGAAATGTGAGGTAGACAAAAAGTTAGTATTAATTCCATTAATGAATAAACTCTCTAAATAAGGAATTCTATTAGTGAAAATAATGGATCCTTCATATAAAATTAGACCATTTTTTCACATATACTATTATGCATACATATGTACACACATTTGTAGAAAGGGATTGAAAATTTCAGCTCAGCAAGGGTTAACCTCTGCACCCCTATATTAAGTTTAAGAGTTCATCTTAAAATATATAGCTGGACTTGTGCCAGAGTTAGATCTATTTGACTCAACTAATAACCTGAGTTGTTTTTTTTCCTTTTTGCAACAAGAAGATGAGGTAATAGAGTCATTTTTGCATGTAAAACTGTGTGCATATTCTTCAATAAGCCAATGGCTCTTAATTCCTAGGTAAGCATACTCTAATAGTTTAAATTTATGTTTTATTTTTTGTTAGTTTGGTCGCAAAAAGAAAAAATATAGAGGGAAACCTGTTGGTCCTGCGTCTATCTTAAAGGAAGTTGAAGATAAGGAATCTGAAGGGGAAGAAGAGGAGGATGAGGATGGAGATCTGTCTAAGTATAAATTAGATGAGGTAAAAGAAAATCTTCAAGGTGTAACACTCCATTTAAATATAAATGTGCTGAACCTTAACCTTAACTTTTCAACTCTAATATGTCAGAGATCACTTACCTTATCCAGCAACATGGGAAACTTTAGCACTTTTACTTCTGTATGGTAAGTAGCATACAAAGTCCTTTGAATGCTTTAGAAAAGTCTTTAGAAGGGTCTTTAGAAAATAATGTATAATTAGATCAGTTTTCAGTAAATGCCTTATAAAAGATGTGTTCGTACATTTAGGGATGAAATGGCTATTAATGCTTGGGGAGAATAGTTAAAATTGTTCCACAAAACAATTGTGTATATTTAAACAAACATCTTTTTGTTTGGTCCTCAAGGGAACTGTCAAAAATTAAAGCAAATATACAATCAGTTGAAAATATTTTTACTTTGTATTTATTACGTACATCGCCACAACTCACTTGTTGAGATGTACCACTGTAGGAAACAAATAAATAATATATACTGCAAAACAAAAAGCAGAATAAGATACGGTAACTTAACATTGCATGAGAGGAAGCATTTATTCTAGAATGAATTAAATATTTATTTATGGATGAGTGTGTGCATGAACTCATGTTTCCTCCCAGTTAAATTACTGCTTAAGTCCAGTTTTTATTATCAGTTTGATCTGGTTGAATAAAGAAAAAGAACTTAATATTTAAAGATAGTTTCTTTTTTCCTCAAAGGAAATGATGTTAATAGATAGTATTTTAACTGCATCATTCATTCTGCATGGAACTAGGGGTGACAGACAGACAGACATAGTTATTCTGTTGTATTTTGATATATGTTAGTCTAAACATAGTAGCTGGTCACATCATTTTTTTTATCTAAATGAGATGTCCAGCTCTTCTGTCTAAATTTAAAGTTTATAGAATTTTTCTGGTTTATATCATGTGAACAGGCTGCATTAACTTCCTTGTTCCTTGTTATGGACATCCTCTGGGGATTTATTATCAGATTAGTGTACCTACTTTTTTCCTGTTGAACATAAAAAGCTGCCAGTATTATTTTCCAGGATGAAGACGAGGATGATGCTGATCTCTCAAAATATGATCTTGATGGTGGTGAAGAAGAAGATTCTGCCAATAAGAAGAAATCTTCCACTGCTAGCCGAAGTCGCTCCAAGTCTCGATCTTCTCCTTCACAATCTTCATCTCGCTCATCCTCCCATTCAAGCTCAAGGTCTAGGTCCAGGTAAACGGGTACAGGTCAAGGGTAACGCCAGACAAAATGTCAGTATCTAACTTTCTTTATTTACATCTCTTTTGTGATTAACTTTTACATTATTATTTTTTTGCAGTTTAAGTTAGCCTAATCAATCTTACGTATCCAGCTGCAGGGATAAGCAGCATTTAGGATGAGTGAATTGGAGGTGGTTATTCTAAGTTTTATGACAGTTGTGAGTTTAAAAGCCATGAAAATTAAAGATTTCTTAGTTTTAGTATTTTTGTAGCAGCTAAATATAGTCCTGCTATGTCTTCAAGATTGTGTGACTTCAGAGTATGTTTTTGCTAATGGGTTGGTAAGAGGCAAATATTAACCTAAGTATTTAAAGATCTGCTTATTGGCAGAAACTTATAAAAAAGTAAAGTTATCCTTATTTTTAAAGGAAAGAATTGGATTTTAAAGAGAAGAAGAGCTTGTAATTTATTTATTTATTTAAACTTATAAATAAACATGGCTGTCTATATACATATTTTTCTAGTGAGCCTCGTAAAGAGCCTAATTTTGGGCAGCATTTTTTTTTTACCAAAAATTACACATCTCCATTTTGTATCAATTTTATGATGAATATTCATAAAAGGTTGTATATGGAGAAACTGTCAAACATATAGTTATGTTTTAAAATACCTCTAAAGCAAAACTAAGTTGGATAAAAATTAACATTCCAATTAAGGAATTTGTTGATTGCAGGATTCTGTAGTCTCCATATTTTGGATTTTTTAAAATTGATTTAAAATATGTTTATACTATGCTCATTGGCTTACAAATGTAGCCCAGGGCCTTTTATAGAATGATATTATATTATTGGAACAAAATAAAATTCTCTATATTGGGTTATATTCAGACATAACATTCTATAAAAAGAAGACATTCTTTCACTTTGGATATAAGAACTCCAGTACAATGATGATGTCCTTGTTGGAAAGAAGGGAAGAGTGAAATCATTAATTGTTCTTTGCCTCTCCATCTATTGCTGGGGGGTCATCACCCCCATAACATGTAGTAAGTAAGTAAGCAGTAGTAAATAAGCTTAACATGCAGGTGGAAAAATTTACTGGGGTAAATATTAACATTCAAATGTTTAATATAATTTTGTTACACCTCAAACAATATATGGGGAAATTATCCATTTCATAGAAGAGAATATGGCTTGCTTTGTATGTTTACTAAACACATTGACCGACATGTTAATTCTATATATCATGATCTAAAATTAGGGAAAATAGAAGACAGCAATAATTCCTGAATATAAATAAAGGGGAGGGTAAAGTTGATGGAACACAGTGGCTCAGTGGCTAAGACGCTGAGCTTGTCGATCAGAAAGGTCTGTACTTTGGCAGTTCGAATCCCTAGCACAGCGTAATGGAGTGAGTTGCCATTACTTGTCCCAGCTTCTGCCAACCTAGCAGTTTGAAAGCATGTAAAAATACAAGTAGAAAAATAGGGACCACTTTGGTGGGAAGGTAACAGTGTTCCATGCGCCTTCGGTGTTTAGCCATGCTGGACACATGACCACAGAGACATCTTCGGACAGCGCTGGCTTTTCAGCTTTGTAACAGATAAGCACCACCCCATAGAGCCGGAAACGACTAGTATATATGTGCGAGGGGAACCTTTACCTTTTTAATGTTGCTGGAGGAAGATCAAGGGTTGATAGGCTGTGTGAACTAAGAAAATCTGCATTATTAGAAATATTTGTTGCAAAATAATGGAATTCTAATGAACTTTACTAATGTTCATAGAAGATTAGAAAAAAATGTTCCATAAAGTTATCTTTTCGTGAGCTGAAGGGAAAACAATTCAGGCTTTTGTAAGATATCAACCAAATATAACACTTGGGCAGCAATAGTAGAGCAAGTGGATCAAGGGTCCCAAAGTTCAAAACTATTTGGTTACAAAATAAGTTAAAAATATTTTGTTAAATATTTTAACTAACAAGTACTTCATAAGGTATAGATTTTTATTTGGTTGTTGAATTGGTGAACTCAAGACAATACTTTTTTAAAGATTTTTTAAAAAGGAATATTTACATTTTTCAAGATTTTAAAAAATATTTAAAATTTTCAAATATTGTACAAAAACAATATTACTATTCTTTTCATTATAAATATATGAAGCCTATAATTAAAATTGTATAAAATAAACAATAAAAATACCCAACACATATTAAATAACTAAGTACCTCAGTATGGGTATTTTTCATGTGTGTGTGTGTGTTCCTGTGTATTAAGCTTAATTAGTGCTCCCCCCCTCCCCCCCACTCTATAACAAGGAAAATCACACATAATAGCTTTGTCTGACCTTATATTGTATATTGGGTAAATGTCTTGTATTTTAATGAAACTATCCTGAAGGGGAAAAAAAGTTAACTTAAGAATCATACATTTAAAAAAAAGCATAAAAAGGAATTGTGAATTAGACGTGAAGAATAATTTACTCCAAACTGTCAGGACAATGTTCAAGAGAATACACAAGTTTGAATCTTAGATCAAATGAAAAGTTTATGCTTCTTCTCTTGGTGATTTAAATCAATCCATATTTGCCTCCAACGGTCTCCATAAGGCACTGCAGTGAGATGTCGAGCTGGTAGAGATAAAGAACAAAGCCAGGAGATTGATTCAGCAAGTGAACTTTTGAACTCAGCTGATTTCTATGCTTTGCAGATAACCAGAAAAGCAAGAATTCTGGCTCTCTGGATGGCAATCTTGGTGTTTGTCTAAAAAAGGAGATTGTGCTTAGAGATGTTTAATTCTTTATGATCTTTGTTCAGTTTCTTAAAGCTGCTTCTTAAGTAAGATCAATAAAGTTAGCTAGCTAGACATCTGGATACTACGATTTCCCAAGAAAAATAATATCTGCTTAGAATATAATATTCTGAAAACCTTTTAGATGAATATGGAATTCATGGGTCTGGGTTACATCTAGAATGGTCCCTGGTTAAGGAAACTGGATTGAATAGTGAATAAGATATCCAGGTTATGGTCCAGTGCATAACTTGTCCTAAGCACACTTTGTGCTTTTTTTTTTCTTCACTGAGGCTTTATGTCTGTTGACTCTTAATGAGATACGATTCCTCTTAATTAGATATGCAATGCATGAGTGTAGATGTCTCTGTGAATATGATTGGCAGATAGATAGATAGATAGATAGATAGATGATAGATAGATAGATGATAGATAGATAGATAGATAGATAGATAGATAGATCTGCTGAATTTAGCAAGATGGATAAATACCTGTTGAATTTAGCAAGCAGATTCTTTTACTGGTCTTTTATTCTGCTATCTCTCAGCAAGGCCAACTTTATCAGGAATAAAATGAGTCAAGCTATTTGACCAATGTCATGTAAAATACAGTGGAACCTCTGGTCACAACTAATTCATTCCATAACTTCAGTCGCAACCCGATTTGGTTGTAAGCAGAAGTGAGACTGACTCTGCATGTGCCTACAAAAAAAATGGCACAGAAGGGGAAATCAGCGCAGAAAGGGAATTGGCCACGGCCGTGTTTGATCGCCATCTGGTTTTTGAATCGTGACCTGGTTCAAAAATATTGTGGATTCTTTAGTCAGAACCCGATTTGGTCGTGGTCAAAAGCGTTCGTGACCAGAGGTTCCGCTGTACAAGCCTTCACAATATGTTACTGACAGTCACTACTAGCTCCTCTATATTGATTCCCAAAAAGATGCTTTATTATTTGTTTCCAGGGGGGTTAATCTTTCATAAAGAATCACCAGAAGCACTATTCATCAAGCAAGAATGTTAATCTAATTCAGCACATGAGAATTTCCAAATCCGGTCTATTTTTTAAAATTAATTAAAATGTTTCAGATTGAAAATGCAATTTATTTATTTAATGCTGCTAGATCTTTGTATGCTTGATAAATAACAAATTTAGGCCAGAATGGTAATAGTAAATACATTTTCTTGAGTTCTTTTAAAATAGAATACTTTATTATTAAGCAGAAAATCCAATATTTTTTATGAGGGTAAATTAAATTGTACAGTTATCCAGTTTTGTAAGATATATTATGGGAACACTTAAAATTGGAATAAATGTATACAATCTAGGAACCCCCATTTGCATTTTCCTTGTGTTAACAATTTCTTGCCCTGTAAACAGCAAGCTGTATAAAAAGTTGTTTAAAAAGTTTTACTACTCTCATCAGTTTTTGCAATTTGCTGCTATTTAAACTAAAATAGATAAAACCTATCATTATGTTCAGGAAATAGGAATACAGTTTTAAAAATGAAAAGTATGAATACTTTGATGTATCATAAATCAGCAATGTTCCAGATGTTTAATTATGACTAAGAAGACACTCATTTATTTAAAAGAAAATCTCATAGAATATACTGGCATTTACTTTTAAATATATAAAATAGGATTATGTCAGAACAGACCCCACTAAGGCTTATTTCTGAGTAGATATATGCATGTTGCATATATGCATTCATGCAACTTGGTTTTCATCAAGATTTACTGAATTGTAATTAAGTTGCTTTCAAAGTAGTATGCAACATAAATAACTTTAACTTTACTATTTTCTGTTTTGAATTGTGTAATTCTTACTAACTTAATAAGATTCATTTTTGTCTGTTTTTGACTTGCACATCAAAATCCATTGGAAATATTCTTAAAGGTTAAGATAAATCTTTTCAAGGGATTGTAATTTATATTTACAGGTAGTCCTCAACTTACAACTATTCATTTAGCAACCAGTTACAATAGCACTGAAAAATCCTTGCACTTACAACCATTACAGCATCCCCATGGTCACAGGATTGTGATTTTGGCACTTGACAGCCAGCATGTATTTATGATGGTTGCAGTGTCCCAAGGTCATGTGATATCACCATTTATGACCTTCCCAGCCAGCTTCTGGCAATCAGTCAATGGGGAAGTGGTTAATCACTTAATAACCAAGGAAAAAAGGTACTAAAATTGATCCCAGTCATTTGATGACACTTGACCAAATCTTTTAGTGGTGGAATTGTGGTCATAAGTCAAGGACTACGGTAACCTTGTATTATTATTATTATTTATTGACTGCACTTTAAAAAGACAATAAGTTTATCTTATGTGATAACTTGCAAACATAATATATGAAAAATTATTCAGGAAAAATATTTCAAAAAGCAATTTATAACATGACCTGAAAGATAGATAAAAATAAGTCCTGCTTACTTAGCTTATGCAGCTATTTAATTCCTAACCAAATTATTTATTTGTTTGTTTAAATCACTGTGAAAAATGTCCCAGTGAGGTGAAGGAGATAAAATAATGTTATCAAATTCTGTTAAACTAAAAGCTTAAATTCGTTGGATTATTGTTTTTCTCTTCCTCCCAAAAAGAAAAATAAATCTTCATGTTGTTTCAGGTCCAGAAGCTCTTCCAGTTCAAGGTCACGGTCTCATTCCACTTCCAGAGAACGTTCTAGATCTCGTGGGTCGAAATCAAGGTGAATGAGGTAGCAAGCTCTGCTTGTCAGAGGGAGAGAGAGAGAGAGAGATGAAGAGGTCACCATCCATACTACTTTATTATAAGCATTTGCTACAAATGTCTTTCTTTTAATATAATTTTAGTAGCAAATGAAATTATATTTATTAAAGTAGCAAAATTATTATAACAAATTCTCCAAGAAAGTGGGAAAGTGAAGGTATTTATTTATTGTTTTAAAAAAAAATTTACATTTTTGAACCACCCATCTTCCTAAAAGAGGGTTTTTACAGAAACTTATGAAAATTGGAAAAGTGATAATTGTTTAGAGTTTTCAGGGAGAAAGGCAGGAAATCTAACTAACTAAAATGTGTGTATAAATTCAATTTACCACTTAGCAAGTATTATCTGTATTCTAAGATAAACCATATACAGAAATGCTGAATGTTGAATATTCAATCTTAAAATAACAAAGCTCTTTTCCTATTTGTAGTACTTGTTTGTATTTCAAAAAATAGGAAATGATGAAGAGTAATTATATTAAAATATATATCCATAGATAATTTTCTTCGTGTGTAAAACAGATATAGGTAAAGTACTGCCTTGCCAGTCTGATTTTTGCCCTCCCCAAATCTGTCTGAAAATGTGTAGTTAATATGGTTGCCTACAATATAGGGTAGGATTTTAAAAAATTAATTCTAACACAATTGCATGCAAAGGTTTAGGCACTGCTGAGCAAATTGTATGTATCAATGAATCCATGAGTGAACAGAAGCGACAAAATGTCTACATTGTACATTGTTAAACAACTTTTTCTGCATATTTGAATGCATGCTTGCTATTTATATGCACTTTATAAATTCAAAATTAGAAACAGTGAATATGGTAGATACAGAAGTTTAGATATTAGACATTGTACTAGTCAGCACTTTATAATGTTCTTTGGCAGAAAGTTTCAAAATCTTTCCTAAGAGTTTTTTTCCCCTTGATTTAGGAATATTTTCCCACTCTTCCTTGCACAGCTCATCTAGTTTAAAAATGTTCTGAGGTCTTCTTGCCTGTACTGCAGGTTTGGGATGTTCCCACAGATTTTCACTCTGGAAATTGGGAGGTTATGCCAAAATATATTTTCTAGTCAGTGGTTAATGTTGACAGTTGGTGTATGTTTCTGAAATATTACATCTATGTTTTGCTTCAGTTTCATTACTGGGATTAGCATCTGGGATATGTTGATAAGTAGTTAATTCTTGTTTCCAACAACAAAAAATATTTCCTATGCAAAGTATGGTAGAGTTAAGGTAGGCAAGGTACTGTTTCCTTCAAATGTTTTACCCTTTTTGCTAAAAATGTACCTTGTGCAGCTGATGTGTTCACCAATCCAAAACATTAAAAAAAAGTTTCAGGTTTTGTTCACCTGTGAAATTTGTCTTCACCTTTAAATTATAGGCCTACCAAACTAATAACCTTTTGCTATCTTATCAACAACTTGACAGTTAAAAAAAGGGGGGGGGGGTTAAGGAGCAACTGATGCAACTAGAAAGGTGTCTTAAACTTCTGTACCTATTCAAAGTTTTCTTATTTTAGTTCTGTAAACAACTGCATATGAATATCAAGTAAAAATTTGTAGAAAAATAAAAAAATAACTTTGTACCATGTAAAGATTACATAAGCTTCTGATCATTTAAGAATGTATTAAAATGTGCAGCATGCTGGGTGGAGGTGGTTTCTAAAATTAAAATGTGCAAATGTATCTGTTAACTCACTAAGGGCTAAAATTTGTTGTGCTCAGTTAAATTTTTTTAGTTAAGCTATATACAATTAAGGAATATTTAATCTGAAGTTCAGAGTTTGATAAATGATAGATAACAAGTGCTTAGCAGCAAAATGACTTTCTTTGATTTTTTTTATGAGGCATCAGAATATTAGGGTGGTTTCAGAATCTAGTTCTTACCACTGTAGTCTCTTTTAGAGACTGAGCTAAAAACCTGTTGTCAAATATAGGTAAAGTTGGCTTCAGCTCATTGTTTCTATTTTGTTTTACAGGTAGTTCTTGACTTAGGACCCCATTTGGGACTGGAATCTTGGTTGTTGAGCGAAGCAGTTAAGTGAAACATCACATGCCTGCTTCGTTCTGCAGCCACCTTCCCAGTTGCAGTTGTTAAGTGATCTCACGGGTTGTTAAGCAGACAGAGCCCCAAGTATGGGGTTCTTGGGGTAGGGGAAGCTCTAGGAAACTCCACTCAAGAACTGAAAATCACTGTGATGAAATCCAAGCAGGATTATCATCCCCTGAGTGAAGAAACCTACATGGCCTGTGGTGGGTCCCCTAGGACCTCCCCTACCCGCCCGAGACACTCCATGCTCATTCCACCCTTCATCCCCGTTCTCTACTTGGATTTTGGCCTGTTCTTGTCTTTGGGATGGCTGAAAGAGTTGCTTGCTGAAGGAGTTTAGCTTTCTTCCTATCTGGAAGGGAACGGCCACTGGCAGAATGCAGGACACAGAGCACAAATCGTTAGGATTTGAAGTCCATTTCTGCAGCCCATCAAAAGATTTCTGCTCTCCTCCATGCACATCAAGGAACTCCTCTGGGAGGGGGCAGGAATGGAGCTTATACTTTCAGGATTTGAGCTGCTTCTATTCCGAGCCAGAAATCAAATCCCTCCATATGCAGGAGGGCTTCAGGGAGCTCAAGCATTCAAGGTTTGATCTCCATTTCTGCACCCCACCAAAGTATAACACCCCTCCATGCGCAAAAGAGAAATCCTCCAGCAGTATTCAAGAATGGAACTCAAATCTTTTCAGTTCTGTTTCTGTACCTTCCAAAGAGCTTTGACTTTGGCAGACAGCTCTTGCAGCCAGCCCCCAGACACAAGTGGGGGTCTTTTTAGAAGGCAGCAGCAATTTGCAAGCTTCCCTGTCAGATTCCACAATGAGGTTCTGAAGAAGCTAGCAAATGGTGATCACATGACCATGGGGCTTTTGGCAATTGGTCATATAAGTGCGAACAGGTTGCCAAGCACCCAGTTTGTGATGACGTGATGTGCGGGTGAGGGCCCAGTGTTTTTTGACAGCCAGAAGTGCTTTACAAACACCCTTTTCCAAGGCTTTCATAATTCTGAATTGTCATTATGTTGAGGACTACCTGTAATCTACTGGATACATGTTAACTTAGTTAACACTTTATTTTTTTGAGAAAATAAAAATCTTAACTCCAAAGCTGCAAGGTACAAAAATTATTAATCTGCTTTTTCCTGTGTAATTTTTTCCATATTTACTACCGTATTTCCTTGAAAATATGATTTAACCAGAAAATAAGCCCTAGCATTTTTCAGGATGCTTGTAATATAAGTCCTATCCCCAAAATAAGCTCCAGTTAAGATTGTCAACCGGACGGGCACATTTAGTGCAGTATTTCTCTGAAAATAAGACATCACCTGAAAATAAGCCTTAATGCAACTTGTAGCAAAAATTAATATAAGATTCGATCTTATTTTGGGGAAAATACGGTAATGAGGCCAAATATTTTAGGTCAAGAATTGGCAGCCAGAAAATAGACATTTCCCTTTCCTTTGAACGATTATATGCTCTTGCGGATGAATGAATTAGTCTGAAATGTTACTGCTTTATATCTTTGAGCTCTATACTTATTCAGGCTGAAATAATCACCATAAACGTGGTGCTTTTTACTTGCCTGTATTGCGAATGCAAATCTTTTACAGATAGTCCTCAACTTACGATCACAAGGGGGACCCGAATTTCAGTCGTTATGTGATACATAATTAAGTTGTCATGTGATCAGCCCAATTTTAATAAATAATACATCTTTACGACCATTTTTCCTGCCATTGTTAAGCAAATGGCATGGTCGGGCGAATCATGCAATTATTAAGGAAATCCGGCATCCCCTATTGAGTTTGCTTGTTGAAAGCCAGCTGGAAAGGTTGAAAGTGGCAATCCCATGGCCACAAGACAGCCATCCTAAATGCAGGCCTGTTGCCAAGTGCCCAAATTGCAATCATGGCCGCAGATGGTCGTAACTTCAAGGAAGGAAAGTTACTTCAAGGAAAACTTCAAGGAAAAAAAAGTCATTTTTTCCAAGGCTGTCATAACTTTGAGCTGATGTTTACATGAACAGTTGTAAGTTGAGGATTACTTATACCAACATATTCTTGATGTTACAGTATATAAATGACTGTTGTGATCAGTTCAGCCTAACACTTTAATCAGATATTTGTTTCAAGGGTTTATTAAATAGATAGCATACTACATTATTTAAATTGACCTTTCCCTTCAGCATATGAGTAATTTGTATCTCTATTATTAATATTAAACCAGCGTAAAGGGCTTTTTATATTATGTAGTCAGTTCTGGACAGGCTATTGATGTGGCCCTAGACAAACACTATTTAAAATGGTTGAAGTTTAGGTCCCTGTTAACGTGGCAGTAAGTATTTATACACTAATATCTATTCTTTGAATCTGCATTTCTGTATTTGATATAGAGTATTGCATTTTTGTTTATGCTAGGATTAAGTCTGATTTATTTCTTAAAGATCCAGCTCCAGGTCTGTCAGGGGTTCTCCAACCCCAAGGAAAAGATCTTACTCAAGCTCTCATTCATCCTCCTCCACTGAGAGAAGCAGAAAGAGAAGCCGATCTAGATCTTCTTCTGGTGATCGCAAAAAAAGGCGAACAGGATCACGGTCACCTGAAAGGTTTGGGTTTTGTAGAATAAGAATGGTTGTTCTTTAAATGCTGGCTTTGGAGGAAGAAGGAGCAGAATATTTTACGCTGCGTGTATGTTGTGTTTGTGTATGTGGAGAGATAGCCATTTTATTCCGTCTAGCTGTGGCGATAGATAGATAGATAGATAGATAGATAGATAGATAGATAGATAGATAGATGATAGATAGATAGATAGATAGATAGATAGATAGATAGATAGATAGATAGATAGATAGATAGATGATAGATAGATAGATGATAGATAGATAGATAGATTTTCTTGCTGCCTTTAATTACCAGTCTTAAAGATAATCATACACATGCAATGCAGAAAATGTGTGATTCTTATAGCACTTTTGTGAAGTTGCATTTTTTTAAAAATGTATAAACTCTTCTTAATCGAAGAGTCTTAATTATTATGTGAACTGTTCCATATTACTAAGATGCAAAGATGAAGTCCTAATAAGTACATTTCAAATCCTATTGCCTCTTCCTCTTTTTTTCATTCCCTGTGACATTCATAGCACTAAAAACTTACTTGTTTGCATGCTTTCTCCCATTTTTTATCTTTCAGAAACCGCAGGTCATCCTCTGGATCCTCTCATTCTGGATCTCGTACAAGTTCCAAAAAGAAATAATGTACAAAATTCAAATACACACACACACGCAAAAACAACAGTCCATTGCATGAGATAATATTAAAAAGTTGATGTTTTATTTGGTCAGAAATGGTACATCCTGCTAATAGAGATGCATGTTTAATGGAAAACTGAAGCTAGTTTAACTCATAAAACATGTCATGAAATATTTTAAGCCATAAATTGATCCCGGAAAGGCATTTTTTTTTTAAAATTGGGCTTAATCTAGAACAGGTAGTTTTAATTTAGTCTAGTTTGAGAGTATCAGCCAAGTACCTTCCTGATCTGTTGCTCTGTCATCATGTAGATTTCAAAATCTAGTTTCTGAAAAAGTTTAGTTTAATATTTCTTTGTCATCATTTCACTATTAGTAGGCAGGAACGTATCTCCATTTCAGAGTAGAATATTTCTTTATAGGAACAACTCTTTTTAGTGGGTTTGTGATTTCTAACTGAGAAGGAGCCTCGTATAAATTATTTCCTGGATATTTTGCAAAAATCCCAAATCTTTCTGTATAAATTTCTGCAGAATTTTATAATGTATTACGTAAGGCATGTGCTGTATTTGATTCCATAGTCCTTCACTCTTTATTGACTCAGCAAATTACTATGCTGTAGATAAAATATGGAAAGAAATATATTTCCTTCAGGCAAGGCATCTAGGTATCCTTGATGGTACTCCTGCCACCAGAAGACATTAAACTAGTGTCACTTGGTGAAATCGCAGCAACAATGAAGAAAACCCCTTGTGTAAAATCAGTGATTTTCGGGGAAAATAGCTTTCAGAACTAGAAATTATTTGTGCTCTAGCAGTAGTCCAGTCCTATACAGGCCTGTTTTGGCCAGAATACCATTTTTGGGAAACCACAAAGAACAACTTGATGAATCAACATCTACAAACTAGCCAAATTGGTATGATCTGGAGAAGAAGCATTGTTCTTGAAATGGTTTATACAAAAGAATAGAAATCCTAAAACCTCTCATCTGTTTCAACTAATTCATGGCTTAACATGTTTCATTTTCACTTTTTGTTTTACTGTCAAATGTATTTGTTAAGTACTGACCATTCTTAAACTAATTGGGGAAGATATGTTTGTTATCTTCAGTCACATCCAAGGTAAGTATGTTAAGGGAAATTAATAAATCTAAGGAATAGGCTACGCCTTCAATATCTTGCATTTTGGAAAACCTGCTTTGTAAAACAAACTGCTTGATGACAAATGGAGCAGAACTGCCAACAACTTCCCCCCCCCCCCCTTTCATGGACATCTTAAAGTTGATGGGGGTGGGTGGGCTGATCAATGACATAGCAATAAGGCTTTGCTGTGTGAGTGTTTTGGATAAATTTTGCAGAAAAATATGCCTGTAATCCTATATTGCTTCCTCTTAGGTGTCCTCTCTCTTGTGCTAAATTGTAGCATAGGTTGCACAATACAGATAGTCTTGTAACTGTGCCTCTCTGACTTTTTGAAAGTATAAAAATATGTGAAACCCAGATTTGCTAAATGCTACATGTTAACAATTTGCTATTCTTGTGCTTTTATTCACAGTATTGTACCTAACAAGTTTTAATCTCGGGATATGATAGGCTAGAATAACTAAAGGAAAATTATGGGTTTCATTTGGCTGGGATTCAAATTGTATTGGTTATATGAAGATCCAATTCTGTGGATTTGTAAATAAAGCATGCCAGTTTAAAAAAATGTCATTTATTTGTAGTCTGTATCCTTTCTGCTTAATGCCAGATGTTGCATAGATTGCAGTTCATTTCATTTATCTTCAATATCATGACTTGAAACAATTTAAATATACTTGAAGTTTTGATCCCAAGTAAATCTGGAGATAGACTAATAATGGTATTTGTAGTATGAGAGATAACTGTAAAAGCAACAGTGGGCCTGCTTATTCCTCTTTTGTCAAGTCCAATGTGGGGGTGGGGGGGGGCTAGAACAAGGGTTGGGAATCAAGCCGAAAACAAAGCATCAAAAATGTATTCTTACAAACCCAAAATAAATTTGGTTTGTTTCATAGGATACAAAGTATACAAATTAGTGGACATGAAACTTTAAAATTTGGGACTACAATAAAAAAGATGATTATTTAGATACCCTGCACAGGTAGTCCTCAACGTACGACCACAATTGAGCCCAAAAAGTATATTGTCAAGCGAGAAATTTGTTAAGTGAGTTTTGTCCCATTTTACGACTTGCCACATTTATTTAGTGAATCACTGCAGTTGTTAAATTACTAACACGGTTGTTAAGTGAATCTGGTTTCCCCATTGAGTTTGTTTATCAGAAGGTCTTAAAAGGGGATCACATGACTCTGGACCACTGCAACCATCATAAATGTGAGTCAGTTGTCAATCATCCAAATGTAAGTCGTGACTATGGGGATTCATAAGCAGTCATAAGTGTGAAAAATGGTCATAAGTCACTTTTTGCAGTGCCGTAACTTCAAACAGTAACTAAATGAAATGTAAGTTGAGGACTACCTGTACAAGATCCTTTCCCCGAGTTATGTTGGAAGAAATTTCTAGGACACATAATAACAAATATTAATATTTCAATAAACATATTTTGTTACAGACACCAATAAGTCAAAAGGAGTTGTAAGTTTGTTTAAATAAAACTAGTTTAAATTTTAAAATTCACAGATTAATGAATGATTGCAATGAAAGGCCCATATTTATTAAGGGAGAATGAGATAAATTATTAGTTCATTGTTTGAGTGGTGGTGGCCTAGAGATAGAGCTCTCGCCTCACAATCAGTTCGATCCTAGGTAGATATTTACAGGGATGGGATTCAAATTTCTTAACTGGTTCTGTGGGCATGGCCTAATTTGTGGGTGTGGCTTGGTCATGTGATTGGGTGGGTATGGCTTGCTGACGGCATGGCTTGGTCATGTGACTGGCTGGGTGTGGTTAGATAGTCATGGGACTGGTGGGCATGGCTATGTGGCCATGTGACTGGTAAACCAAATATAAGTGGTCCTCGCTTAATGGCCAGTTGCTTAGCAAGTGTTCTAATTTACAACTGACCTCCCCAGAGCTACTTGACCTGTTTTTGGTGTTTTGACAGCGATGCACACACACGCACACACACTTATGACCAGTTACAAAATTCCACAGTCTTGTGACTAAGGTTTTCTTTGTTTTTTGCCAGTTTCCAACAATTCCTTCTGGTTTCCGGTTAAAAATGCCCATTGGGGAAAATGGACTTGCTTAACAACCAGTGTTTGCTTAATGACCACAAGGTTCATTTAATGACCATGGTGTTTGCCTAACCTAGGGGGTCTGCAACCTTAAACACTCAGAGCCATTTTTCTATTTTCTTTTAAACAAGTATCTGTGTGTGTGTCTTTCTTCCTCTCTCTTTCTCATTTTTCTCCCTCTCTTTGTTTCTCATCTTTCTCCCTCTCATCTATAACTGCTAAGATTGGAAGCTGTTTTTAATAATCCTATTTCTTTGCAATTTTTTCACACACATTTGTGCATATGTATCCAATATTCTTTCTTCCTTTCCGCTATGTATTCAAAATGGGCAATGATTGTGTGTGTGTGTGTGCGTAGCATATGTATATGTGTGTTATGGATGTGTATGGATATGAATATATATTTCACAATTAATGTGTGCCAGTGTACTTACAGTAAAAAAATGACAATAAAAGTTACCGTATCCTATCTTCTTTCCTTCCCAACCCCATTCTTCCCCACACCCTATTTTGTGTTGGCTTCCCAGCCAAGTACTTACCAGGTCTGATCCTGTTTAGCTTTCTAAAATCAGCCTACTGAAATAAATACCAAACTAAACTGCCCAATAATTTACCTATTATCACTATCTTGAACCTGATTTCAATGTAAACAGCCAATCTGCAGTATTACTAAATTTTGCTTGGCATCTGCTGCATGTTATTTTCACTTCCTTGATAATCTAGTCTTAGCTGGGAAAAACAGTCTGGAGTCACTGGTGAGAGCAGCTCGGCACAGAGAAAAGCCACGCATCTCCCCCATAATCTTTTCTCCGCAAGCAGCCTCGTCCTCTCCTCATTTGTGAAGTGCACTAAGTTTAAAGGTGCTGCAAGAGGCTGCTCACTGAGAGGAATATGGGGAGATGCATGACTTTTCTCCGTGCCAAGAGGGCTGCTCTCTTTCTCTCGACTTGGCGCGGAGAAAAGTCGGTGGGAGCAGCAGTTGAGGCGGTTAGTCACCTGTCCCAGGGCTCATGCTCCCCATACCTGCAGGAGGTGGGGGATGCAGCGGCAGCGAGGCAGCGATTGTGATGGCAGCAAGGAAGGCAATGGCGATTCCTTCTGCGTCGGGGCTTCTGGGACCAGCTCCCCCCCCCCCCAGCCATCCATGTGGCCGCATACGTGGTGCATTGGGGCTTCCAAGCTCTGCTCCCCACAGCCGCTGTCAGCTGTCCCAGACTTGATCAAGGGGCGACTTGCTAACACGAGCCTCTCCACGTGTTGCTTCCTGCTGCTCTTCTCTCACTTCTGCTTCTCACCTGCTGCTCTTGCTGGGAGAGCAAGAGAGTTTTTCCTGGCACAGGCAGGGCTGCAGTGGAAGGCAATGGCTGGCCTGGCGGGCGCTCAAAAGCAAGCTGCAGGCAACAGTGTCAAGCATGCACATGGATGTTGCATATATGTGATAAGGACTGGGCAGGTAGCAGAGGTGGGGCCAGCCAGAAGCCCGATTTACCGGTTCTCCGAACTACAGAGAATCATAACCGATTCTACTGAACTGGTCCGAACTGTATGGATATCGAAATCATGAATAAACCTAATATATCAAGCAGCAAACAGCAGCTGTTTGCCTATCACTACAGTCCAGTGGCTTTAGAACTAAAACTAGAAAGCCCTGATTTACACATTTGTAGTTATTTGATCCGATATTTACGGTACTACCCAATCAGCAAAAGGAATTCTCCCCGAGTTTTCAAAGAAAACAGAGTCTCTCTTGATAAGGGGGGAAGCAATGGAAACAGTATTGACGAATTGTATTAAGTTAGCATAGTATAAATTAAAAATACTTATCAAATAAATTACATTTAGAATTAATAGTTACCAAAATAAAACAGGTTCTTCAAATTCTAGAAAATGGGAATGAAAAACAATTAGCAAAGTAAAAAGTGTATTCGGCTTCTACTTTTAGCAGCTAAATTAGCTGCAAAACAGCTAATATCTAGTCTAGATTCATTTGAGAAAGTCTGATTAAACCATTGTATGAGAAGAATAGTGAACAATTGTTCTACAAGGAATTGTGGGATTTCATTGCTTTATAAGAAAGAAGCACTTCATAACTTTATTTTAAAAGGATCTTGAAAAAAAAAATATCTAAAGCCTATAGGTTTCACTCTAAATGCAAAATCTTTGTAAATTTACAGATGATCACTCAATTATAATTACAGGAAAGTAATAAATTATTTTCAAATCTTCCCCGAAAATGCTTCCATCAATCCTCCATTTGCTTCTGATAATAACATCCACTTGTTATTGGGGTCTTATTCTTTCTCACCTACTTTCTGCTTGGACATGCTGTAGTTCAGTTGCCCTTCCAAGGAACATGCACATTGATACACAAATTGATTACAAATTTATAATCTCATTGATTATGCTCAAAGATTGGGTTTTCCAAGGTTTCTAGATCCTTGGAGCAAGCTAGGAAATATTTTTCATTATTAATAAAAAAAACCAGTGGCTGTTTCTTCTGTATAATTCAAAAACTCATAAAATGAAATGGACACAAGAATGTTTTAGAATTAGAATGCTCTTTATTGACCAAGTGTGATTGGACACAAGGAATTTGTCTCTGATGTATAAGCTGTATGCTTACATACAAGCAATGAAGTGACAAATCATAAATCATACCGTTTCTCCAACAATACGACCTCCCCCAATAGGAAGACCCAGCATGTTTTCTAGGCATAAAATGAAATTAAGCCCCTCCCCCCAAATTTAGGCCTATTTTAAAACATGCAAAATGAGGGGGAAGGGCTTGCCGTTAGGAGCGCCCCGTGGGCAGCAATTCCTCGCCACCAGGTGCTCCTAATGGGCGATCATGGCAGAGTGCAGAGAGCTCCCTACTCCTGCCAAGCACTTTTGTGGCAGACCCAAGACCTTCAGCGCCCGCCGCTGTTGATTTCCCTTCTGCCCATGCCGCCGCCGCATTTGGAGCTGCCACTTCCACATTTGGAGCACCGCTGCCGTTTGGAGCTGCCGCTTCTGCATTTGGAGCTGCCGCTGCGTTTGGAGCTGCTGCTTCCACGTTTGGAGCGCTGCCGCTGTTTGGAGCATTGCTGCTGTTTGGAGCTGGAGCTGCCGCTTCCGCATTTGGAGCTGCCGCTGCATTTGGAGCTGCCGCTTCTGCGTTTGGAACCCCACCGGTGTTTGGAGCACTGCCGCTGTTTGGAGTGCCGCCGCCACTCCAAACACGGCGGCAGCTCCAAATACGGAAGTGGCAGCTCCAAACATGACGGTGGTGCTCCAA